CCTCGCTGGTCTCTCGCATTGCTCGAAGCCTCGGCTCCGAAGAATTAAAAATAATAATGTTATGTATAAAGTAATGTTATTTTATTTTTAAGATTCTGAGATCATAAATGTTTTCTTAGATGGGACTCTATATTTCTCTATATATCAATTGACCTGATGCTCCCTCCTCCATACAAAAGTGTTAATGTAGTATTTTTATTTAGAAATGCTTAGTTTAAGAGGTATTTCAATTTTAATATCATCAAATTCAGTGTGAAAAACGAAGAAAATATAAACATGGTGCTATTTTATACCCTACCTTGTCTGTCATACGTAAACTACATTTGTATACTACATTGTACACCAAGTAATTTTGGGCCTAAAATGCTTTAATCCTGTTTTATACAGGAAAAAGGTATATAAAAATGAAATATATATATATATATGTCGGGTTCACATTATGATTAGGGCTAGGGGCGTGCAACGAATCTTCATTTGGATTACACATTGTCGTTATGCAATAGAGAAGACATTGACTAGTGCAAATACGATTATTACAGAATTTTACAAGTAACCGTGGTAATTAAATACTCGAGAAGCTAATGACCATGATCCTAGGTTCAATAACGAATCCGCGGTCAACGGGATAACAGAATGCGCTTTGTTCCAAAGCCCAAGTCGTACTCGACTTGCTTGGCTAAGGTACAAGTATTACTAAACTAACTGTTTGTTAAAACGTGGAATGTCCATCGAGCGTAAAGCCGCTAAGTAACTCGCTAATACGACATCACGAGGATGACTTTCCGCCACGATGATGCTGCAGAGGAAAACTATGATGGGGTGTGTCCAAGGACACGAGATCATCGGCTTCGTCGAGGATAGCCTTCGTTCAGAAAGTGAGGGAAAGTGACGTTGTTGTTAATTGGTCAATTTCAATGTTGGTTGTTAAAGAAGACTTCCCCTATCTTCCCGTAGTTGGCACAAAGACTGTTTGTCCGTTTGAAGGACGTTAGTCATCTAAATCTTAAGATTTGTAACGAGTCCTCAGGCTAGCTGAACATGTACTGTGGAGATGCATCGACATCTGGTAATCATCTCGCCCGAAGAATAGGGTCTGTGTGTGGTAAGCCACGGGACAGAAACCGTTGGAATGTTTACTGTCGCGTGCTGCTACAACTATTTCTTTTAAAAAGAGCTATGGAATTACTCCATACCTCTGTTAGGTAAAAACGTTCATCTTTTGACCGCGACTACGTTCGGTGACTGGTTGTCGCCTCGATCCCAAGCTCACTATCATAAATCTCGAACAAATACAATCGGATTGAATGACGACAATTGCTTAATTACGGCTATGGTAGAATCTAGATTAAAGTGTTAAGGGACTTTCCCAAAATTCCAAAGGGAAGGATCCGGTGTCCTTTCATCTCCGACATATATATAGTTCCATCATTAAAAAATTGCGCTGACTTGGAAATTTCATAAAAATGCTCATTTAGCTTGTTACGTCGTGCGACATTCTACCTAGACCAGGCCACACACCGCTGACAGGATGGCAACCAGATGTCCGCACGCCTTCACTGCGTATCTTCAATAGTCTTAAGAGCCGATCATAAATCTTAGGAATTTCTAATGTCTATTATGGAATGTTTTATGGAATGTTTATTACGGAAAGATAGGAGAAGTTCGTTTTTCTCATGTACGATGTTTCACACTAGCAACTTTCTCTCCGGGGCGGTTAACACCCTTCCTCCACCCTTCCACACCAATTCAGAAAATTAACCAATTACCAGAGAAGTCCTTCCCTCACTCTCCCAACAAGAACTTGGTCTTAACAAATCAGCTTTTCTCGCATCATTAGACCCACCCATCGCAAGTGTCCTCCGCTGCATCATCGTTACCGAAAGTCAGTCTTCATACATTTTTTACTTCAACATCTAAGTGTGCGTCGCGTACAACACCTTGTTACTCTAGCTATCAATCGAATTAATTGTACATTTCTGGTTAAGAAGTTGTTGGAATAAACATTAATTATATCTATGTAGTATCGTGGACGAAAAGCCTAAGAGATATCGGGCGAACCACGAACAATGTCGCGAGAGCCGAGGCGCCGTCGGGTCCATCAATGTGCCATCAATGTGTCATCGGTCTTTTCAAGTGCATAGTTTCGTAGAAAAGACCTACGTGACCCTAGCTACGAGCGTCTGCAGAACACGTGTGCGGTGGGCCTAGTAAAAGACAATAGAATGCTACAACGGCCAGAGAGTGCGGGTCGGGAAGCAGCGTGCGGAGTCGAGAAGCAGAGCTTGCGAGTGGCGTTACCGAGAGAGTGTTGATTGCATTTTGTGAAAGTCGAGTCGTATTCTAATCATTTAGTTGTGCTGCTTTCTGTACGTTTGGCGTGAATAGTTCAGGTTGAACAACAATCGTCTTTTCTGTCCAATTAACATCTGTATCATCCATTCCTTTGTAAACATATTATATCACGATATTACATCTATTAATTCAGTGTAAAGTCAATTCAACCACCCCTATTATCGCAACAGAAGTCAGGAGATCGATCATTTCGTGGCGTCGATTATCCAATCTTAACGGGAATTTACGACTCCCGTTGACGTGCTTTCTCGCGATCGCGTCTCCCCGCGAATGGTCGAAACATTGAATAACATTGTCCTAGGAATCTTTTTCATAGGATCTTTAATAGCGGAGATATCCAAGTGCTCTCATTTAAATGCCGTATCTTGTACAGAATGCAATTATATTTAAAAATGGTGATTACTTGCAAAAGTTTGCATTAACGACAAATAATTTGGAAATTTTCGATCATCACCAATTTCAAACCAGTAATAACCGATTTCCATGACCATGAAATGTTTTTCAAGGTCGACATTTTAGACTATTTCATTATACATATGTATAACCGTCGCTCGGCTTTAGTTTCCAAGATATTATGTCATATACTGCTTCTGGCAGGATGTGTTTCGCACTACACACACAGTTCTAGTATTGTTTACTTGCATGTTTTCGTATCTATATTATAACAAGTTATTAAATTTGTTGTTTATTTATGGTTTAATTGGTCACATTTTTATGTAACCTTATCAAACTATTTCATGGAGAGTTGAAACAGGAAGATTTATTCTAGGCCGTCTATGGCAGAATCAAATAAAGAAATCTAATAACTTGTTACTTTGCGAGGAATGAAAGAAAGGAAGACAAAAGGAAAACGCCATGAAACGAGCGCATCGCGTGTGTGTTAAATGAATGAATGTGCAATAAAACAAATTCATTCCTGTTTCAGATGTATAAGAGAAAAGAGCAGTGTACATTAATACTTCTAGCTATTTTGTTACATACAAAATTGTTATTATGTTACATATAATTTTTATATTTAATAAAACGTTACAGATTATTACTTTAACAGTTACAACTATTAGATATGCCTGTAACGCAAGAGTAAAATAAGTTTAGATTCGTATTAAGCTTTAGGTACTGCCGTTAATATTGGGAATATTTCAGCCACAATATTGACAATAAGTGAATATTCGATTATCAAAATTATACTGCCGTCTAAACAGAAACTCAACTAAGTAGCCAATATAATTTGCAAGTTCCATACCGTGGAATGATCGCTATGATTTCCTGCCACATACATTGTATATTTTCTATATGTGCATTACTGTTTTGATTACTATCTGAAATGTAGAGTGTCACAGACCAATAACATACATGTGTAAACAGCAAAATATCACATATAGTATCGAATACTTTTTTACGAGTAACTTGAAAACTAAAGCCGTACTGCAGATATATATGTATGTCGGAGATAAAAGAACATCAGGACCTATCTTTTGAAATTTTTGGGAAGATTGCCAATACTGTAGTTTAGACCTTTCATTATAGCGGTACTTGAATAATAAAACTTAGAAGTAGTTGTTTATGATTTAATCCGATCATGTGTGCCCGAGAATTATGACAATAGGCTTGGGCTCGAAGTGATACAACGGGTCGCTGAACGTAGCCACGGTCACGGGATGGACGTCTTTATCTAACAGAGGTATGGAGTAATTGTATAGCTCTCCTTAAAAATATAATTGACCCGAGGGGTACAGAGAGGTACGGAGAGGAGTATATAGGTGTAGTTCGATTTGGACTGAAGAAGTTAGTGGAGTTCTACTTGTGGACGAGTAAGTGGAATTACACTTGAATTGTGGGCCAGTGAGTTCAGTTCGACTTGGACTTTGGAAGAAAGCACATTGTCTAACCCGTTGACCGTGAATTTGTTATTGAGCCTAAGATCATTGCCATTGGCATCTCGATATATAATTACCAGGGTTACTTGTCCAATTCTGTAATAATCATATTTGCACTAGTCAATGTCTTCTCTATTGCATAACAACAATGTGTAATCCAACTGAAGATTCGTTACACATCCCTAACCCTTATGATAACTCGACATGTATATAGGGAAAAATTGCTCAGAACGTTGACCTTGATGACATATTTCAAGGTCAGTGAAATCGACAAGTTTGTCCGCGTTGTAAATAATTACCAATAATCCTTGTATAGAAGATATGTTGATATTATGATATTACTACTAATATTTCTTCCTTTGCAATTTGATATGATAGGTACAAATATCACTGCATATCACTTATAGCGATACATGATAGGTGTATATAAGCGAAAACAATAAACATGCAATTGATAAACTTTTACAAATTTATCAGAAAGCAAAGCTGTAACGAAAAAACATTATCTTTAATTTTAATTCTATTTTTATTTCAAATATAACTGTAGTATGCTTTCTTAAAAATCGTCAATTGCATAAAACAATAAAAATCGGCAATTTCAAAAATTGATACAGTTGCCTAGGTATGTATGTGCGAAATAAGCACGATCCTATCTGCAATCAAATCAATTAGTACGCTTATTTACGTCATGCTTTACTTTGCGATTTCATTGTATCTCATCCACGTGGTACGGATAATAATAGTACGCATAATTTGAGCTCTTTGTTTCAGCTGAAAATCGAATTCGAGGTCTGATTCTTTTCGAATTACATGCAGCCCACGCAGACCTTAGTAGGAGGCATACAGAAATGGAGATTTTAGTGCCATTATTGGTAAGATGAAATATCAAATTTAACACGTACTTAAATAATACTACATATTTAAATAATAATATGTATAACACAAACACAAAAAATTACCATCTTTGATAAAATTACAATACAGATGCCTGGTTAGAAATTTTAATGGGGTATTTTTAATTTCTTCATTGATATGAACAATGGAAAAACACAATGAGCTTGAAAGAGATAAAGACCATCTAGAAAAAGGGGACAAAAGTCAAGAGCTTCAAAAAGTTAATAATTTATGAGGACGTATTGTAATTTAAATGTAACTTCTTTATTATGATATGTGCATTATGATATGGTATGTGTAGTTTATGAAATATTGATTTCGATGAAAAGCATGCAAATTGTACTCTTACGCTGATGAGGTGTAATTGCGAAAAAAGTTGTAAAACTCCCTTTTTACAACAGTTTTATCTGGGTCTGTAGTGAAAATTTAAATAATACGTTTACTGCCACGTGCATGCTGAATATTTCGCTAAAATCGGTTGATACAGAAAAAAGTGATAGGCATTAGAAAAATGTAAGAATCATTAGATTTGTTACAATTACAGGTCAAAAATTGTGACAATTTTTCACAATTTTTTTCATTGTTTCTAACTCGTAGCAACATTAATCGATTTCGATGGAAATGTAGTCACGATTACGAAAGCTTCTGCAAAATCGGAGTCTATCGTCAAAGTTTAAAGACTTTACACTGTTTCCGGACCTAGGACATGTGCTGCTTAGCACACAACACACAAGCACACAACAGACCACAGATCGGAAACACCACGAACAGCCGCGTCTCCAAGTCCACCTCCCAGTGACAGACGAACACATAACCAATGACGCCGACGATCGACGACTCCGTTGATGACCGAACATATCAGACCAATAGCATCCGAATTATTATCCAATGATCTAGTCATCACAGCGTAGATTAACGTTTTGAATGATAAACAGCAACCAATCCGTTGTCGAGCGTTGCTGGACATCGGATCTAGTATGAATTTCATTACTGAGGAATTAGCAAAATCGCTAAAGATAAGGCAAAACAGTCTTAATAAACTCTCAAGATTAGAAAGGTTATGGAACTATGTTCTTGGTAAAATAAATTTCTCTAATTTTTAAAATTCTTTGTAGAAATGATTCACACAAGATATGACTTTATAAACACAAAAATACCGCTATACATCCTTCCTTGTCTTTCATACGTTAAATTTTACAAATTAAAGCTAAAGTACCTATTAAATTATGTAAGAGTTTTTCGACATAAATAAGTTAATATCTTTTTATGGGAAATAATAAGATAGATCGATTAATGTATTAAAAGATATATGGTTGACCTTAAAACCTATCCCGCTACTGGAACAATAATTTCAGTTAAACAAAACATTCTGTATACGTATATACAATTTTCTTCCCTACAACTTGTACAAGATAAGCTGCTGTCCATGTATCGTTCGATTCGAAAATTCCTGCACAGTCCGCTACTTAGATTGACCTACTTGTTGAGAAACGTTAAGTTGGTATAATCGTTAGTTCCTACAAGCTAAGTTGGTACGACTCCTAACGACGCTCTTTTGTCTTAGGAGTCGACCACGTGTTAATTATCTGAGTGTATCCGATGTGTTCAGACGTTTTGTACGAGGTGGTGAAATATAGAAAGTAAAATTCAATCTGTGTGAATCTATTAAATATCAACTCCAAAACTATATTTAATAACACTACTTTCGTTCATGTAAAGAGGTTTGTTCGCGCACAGGGATGTTTCAGCTAGTTTCTAACTGACAATAACTAAAAAACAAAGAAAACGCAATTTTTTATTCTTGATTTTCATCTTATTTTAGCTTCAAGAATCACTTTAAATTTTGTTATAACTGTAGCCAAACACCCTTTTTAAATATATAATATTATATAGAACATCCGTTTATATATAGTGCTATGTACAATAGGATAATCTTTATATCTTTACTTCCAAATTTTGTTGTCACACCATCTAAAATTACTACATTTGAGAAAATAACATTTATAAAATTTAAGTTAATGTTTTGATATTCTTTACTTCACGTTAATTTTCGGCATATTCGTGTCCTCTCATTCTACATATATTTCATATATATTTTAATAAGTAATTTGTAAACATTTTTTTAATAAAATAAATATTTATGGGTATTTTGACAGAAACGTAAAAGTACACTTACTTAAATAATACAAGTATGTATTTGTTGAATATTGGTGTTATCGAGGAGGAAGTCCGACGAAATTGTGTTCAAATAATTCGTAAAACAATTGTTAAGCAACGAAAAATAAAACACTAACTCTTGTCCGTAACCTGGCGATCATACCACCAACATGGCTAATGAGAGAAAGCAAACTGACATTTCAATACGAGATCTTGTTACAAAATTATATTCAGAAGGTAAATCCTTTCTTAAAGTGTGGGAAGTGGTCGGTAGAACTCACTCTAAATATACAAAAATTCATAAAGAAATGTCCGAAGAAGAACACGAAGAATTTCCGTCCGAGAACAAATGTGCGAAATATATGGAAAAAAATCTCCATTGAAACATGTTTAGTTTTATAGCGGACTGTATAAAGATTGGAGTCTATGCTGAGAAGAACACATAGGTTTGTGCGAGAAGAGCAAAATGATTCACGATCCTGGTCGAATCGAATGAATTTTATTCGGAACACAACGCCATTGGTAACACGATGTGATGGGTGTGATTATTTACATATGATATAATGATATCGTTCGCATAACTTATAATAAATGCACACGTTGCGGAACGCTAAATTCTTTGCATAAAGAACGCAATTACCGATCCCGGGAAGATACAAATGGTAGAAAGGGACTTCGGTAATCGTAATACTTTTCTTGTCTTAACTTCGGTCGTTCTTGTTTCTATTCTTTTCGGTAATATCCTATAATTAAGTAATTATAGTTTTAACGCGAGCGGTAAGGGATTGGAGCGTTTATAATTACCCATGATGTCATCATCGACGACAAATCAATGTCTGAGAAAAGAAAGTATATTAAGAAAAGAGGAGTACAGTCGCAGAAAAGTACAGAAAAAACTATGGTAATTATTTACAGAAGGTTACACCTTATCGATTTCGGTGACCTTGAGATATGTTGTCGTTCTAAACAACTTTTCCGCATATATTATCGTCGCTCGGTCTTAAGTTTAGAGATATTCACAAAAAAAATCAATTAAAATTTGATTTCGATTACAATAATCTCGGTTTTTCTTAAAATTCTTCATCGTCTATGTCGCTTCATTCTTATTCCTCTTTTTCGGCATACTTTTCATTTCTCTCATTTCTGAATGTCACATTTCATTCCGGATCGTATTAAGATTTATTCTATAGTTATATCAGACGTAATCCCCGATCAAAATTTATTTAACCGCCGAGCCGTGAAAAATCTTTTGCTTGAAAACTTTTCAACATGGAGTATGTCCGTGTTTTTTGCTACTGCATGTCTTGCAAATATAATTGGCAAGGCTTTATATAAAGGTAGTAACCACTGACATGAAAATGCGGGCTCATTCTTCTTAAAGCGCCGAAATGTAATTTCCAGTTACCGCTTCTTTCAGCCTCATTGAAGTGCTTTATTATTGTAATCATATCGAAATATTGTATCCATAATTTAGTTGTCATTTCATTTTCAAATTTTAAGATAACATGAAAATTTTGAGACAACATTCTGAAAATCTGTATCTGTGATGTTATCTTGCGGACCGCTTGTTGCGAGTTATCAACTAAAGAGCGACTAACGCGCAAGGTAGAGGAGGTTTAATAAATCGAGTGTTAGTGTAATTTGGCACTTTATTTGCACTTGCTGTATTAAAGTAAAGTTTGATGTTCCGAACACGACGGTTGTAAAGTTTTGTTGAGAGTGAAGTATTTCACCCACACGGTACGACGCTCTGTTGACTGTCCTAGTATGTCGCTGATTCCCTCCATCAGCCGTTGGGCCTCCTCCATCCATCATGCCTTCCCGACCGGGGGTTTTCCCTGGAATTTCTTCCTGACCTCTGAATCATCAGACTTAGAGCTCGGGGAGGACAGGTAATCCGAAATTTCCCAAAGAGATAGGTGCTATCCGAGCCATAAACGGACGGCCACTCAAAATCTCAAATACCGTTTCAAAGATCATGTAAAGTTTTCGAAAACCTTGATCTCATCGTCTGTAATTTGAAAAGAAGCTAAAATCATTTCTGATAAGGCTAAGTATGTGGCCTATTACTGCTCTTATAAACATGAATATGTAGCGGCACATGAGTCATAGGACGATTCGAATCGGGAGTGACTCATATTGTTGTGCGTTATAGTATCAACGCTGTTTTGATTTGCGAGGTTTAAGAATAAACAAACTACGGGCAAAAACATTATCGCCGTTATGAATAATTGTCAACTGGAACCACATATGATCTTCTGTAAATCCACCGGACAATATAAATAGACGGACATCCTCTCTAGGGAAAGGAGTCTTTAGAGCGAATCAGTATAGCGAAGAATATAACTAGCACCATAGCGAGTCATACGATAGAATCAAGTGAGCGACGGTTACAACCGACATACACTATCTCTGTACTTGTACTTAAAATGATCTTAATATAATTAACTATTACATTTTTACCACTCATCTCTTTAATAAATTAACACGTTAATACGACCTCAAATATTTAAAATTTTATCCAAGTTGACTGCCGTACGTTGCAAAGTTCGTTACAAAAAGTTGTGGCGGATGAAAAGAGAGTTCTGCGTTTCGTCCCGGGACTACTGGTGGACTCGTCAGTAAGGCTATGCCCGGTAGTCCCTGCCTTAGACGTCTCGCTAGGTGCGGTATTTGTATCAATCGCTCGTATATTCGACCGCTAGCGAGTTAAACAGACTCGTTGTCGTCGTAGCCCTCTAGTGTTGGCGGTTGGTACCAGCGGGTCGCCCGGGAAGTGTTGCGCCGCGTTGATGTCTCGACCTGTCTGCGTCCTATTGATACCGATCCGCCACAAAGTTGTATAGTATTCAATTGTTCGAGGATATTTGTCTACTTATTCGACTATTTCGTAACGAATGTAATAAGTGTAGAATATTGTACTTATTAATCATTTTGAAGATACTGTCGTCGCAGAGCAATTTTCTATAAAAATTTGGAGTATAACAACTTGTAAGTACTATTTTTATAAACAAAATAACTAATAAATAATTGATCATTTTTAAGATCATGGATCCGCACGTGAAAAATTACGTTATCTGCGATAAGTTGTTGACTCGTGGACTCTGAAAACTACTAGTCAAAAATAGTCAATAAGGAATTTTTTATAATATTACTAATCAGTAGATTCAACACCATTAGTCTTTGTTAAATATATAGTATATTTGTATTGTAAGTGCGAGGGAGAGAGAACGTAGAGCGAAAACACAAACAAGTATGTATCCCCTCCCTAGTATTAGAATACTAGAATATTAGAATATTCACATAACTCTGCTCGCCGCGTGGGCTACTCGCCGGAGGCCAATGGCACGAGATTTCACACTGCACTTCTCTCTTTTTTCTCAACGGAGTCCTAGGCCATCATGCAACACTATCATACATACTATGGAGGGGATACATATTATACTTGTGTATCGTTTCTCTCTACGTTTCCTCACTCTACACGTACAATACAAATATACCATATATTCAACATATTTAATCTACAAAACACATTTTTTGTATTGTTTTCGGTCGCCCTTGTTTCTATTCCTTTCGATAATATACGCGTGTTTTAATGGTAATTATAGTTCTAACGCGAGCGGTAAGGGGCTGAAGCATTTTTTACATAATACGATAATTATACAATATTAACAGACAATTATATAAACTGTGAACAAAAATTTCTGCCATCATTTATTTGCACTTTACATTAACAAATATTTGACGGTTTGTTTTTTTTTTTTGCAGCAGGAGTCAAAGAAGTATTTAGTTGATGGCTATCAATTGCTGAAGTATGAACCAAAAATTCTACCGGAAGGAAAAATAGCTCAACACGCAGAACAAAATTTCCACGAAATAAATAAGCTCTTAAAACGATTCAATGTAACATAAACTTTATCAGTACGTAGTTTGCTCAGTAAGTTCTACATTTGGGAGTAAATATTAAACGAAAAACAAAACTGTATATATACATAGCCTTCGTAAGCAAACAAACATATTGAAATAAATTTGTTAAAAAAATTTTAATAAGTACAATTACAAGCGGTAGTTATCATGTATTAGCATTCTTTGATTGAGGGGTTCATTTTTAGCGCATGTTAGAAAAATTAACACATGGAATCAATGATATAATTTATATTAATGTAATATCGTGATATGATATATTTACAAGGAATGGATGATACAGATGTTAATCGGACAGAAAAAGACGATTGTTGTTCAATCTGAACTATTCACACCAAACATACAGAAAACAGCACAACTAAATAATTAGATACCGACTCGACTTTCACAAAATGCAATTAACACTCTCTCGGTAACGCCACTCGCAAACTCTGTTTCTCGACTCGCACGCTGCTTCTCGACTCGCACTCTGCTTCTTGACCCGCTCTCTGGCCGTTGTAGCATTCTCTTGTCTTTTGCTAGGCCCACCGCACACGTGTCCTGCAGACGATCGTAGCCAGGATCACGTAGGTCGTTTCTACGAAACTATGCACTTGAAAAGACCGATGATACATTGATGGACCCGACGGCGCCTCGGCTCTCGCGACATTGTTCATGGTTCGCCCGATATCTCTTAGGCTTTTCGTCCACGATACTACATTAATGTTCTCTTAATTTGGTAGGTGATTTTAAAAACTTCTAACGAATCACCAATCTTACTTCTTGTGAAAGGGATACGGCGATAGAATAAATTCTCCAGACGCTTTGTGTTTTGCCGGTAGCGAAAAATACTGAAAAAATACCGAATGTACAACAGAGAGGGATACAGTAGAGGTACAATACAGTACGGGGCGGGAACAATAGAAAAAAATTAAAAGTTTACGTATCAGGGAATATCACCGTTGCAACGGCAAACCTTCTTTCTTTTCGGTTCCCTGTGAAAAAAGATTTTGATACTGACGAACCTTTTCCGACGAAAGCGAGATCGAACATGATACAATTTGACTCATATTTATTTATCTAATTAATAATTCGTTCTTTCTATCATTGTTTCTAGTAAATTCAAAAGTAATTTCAATAAATAAATAAATTCAACAATATTATTATTATAAAATAGTAATTTACTATTTTGTGTACAATTTATATAATTCATATTTAATTTATTATTTATTATTAATAATTTACTAATACTATTAATGAAATAGTAAAATAATATACATGTCGGAGAAACGTCAGGAATAGAGTTGTGGACGTTTGATAAATCTTCATTGGAATTGGCCATCGTTGGGTTATAATGAAGGTACGGTCTTATAATACGAGTATGGATACTACCGACTCGACAATCAACCGCGGCGGTTGAACACTCGCGATACTAGTGATGTTGGTCTTAGGTTCAATAACGAATCCGCGGTCAACGGGATGATAGATGTACGTGCTCACAAAAAACTAAGTCGGACTCTTTGCGAAAACGTGAAATATCCACCGAGCGTACAGACACAAAGTAACTCGCTAATACGACCTCACGAGAGAATGACTCTCCGTCGCGCTGATGCTGCAGAGGAAAACTATGATGGGGGATGTCTAAGGACACGAGACGA